TGATACATTTGGTGATTAGCATATGTGCTTTGCGAAGTGCTTAGGTTAGTTAGACCACGGCTTATGCGCTTGCTCTAGGTTTAGGCCTAGTGTTTAGTGAGGTTTGCACACCTCTTACCACTCGGTGCTTGCGTGCACCATTGTTGTACATCGGAGGGGCTTGTAGTCTTGTGAGATCACATCAACTACATTTGTGGTGTGGCCGCCACCGTGTACCAAAGGGAACAAGGCCCACGGCGGTTCGGCCGGAAGCTTGATAGTGAAGATGGTGGGGAGTGGTCCGAGAGAGGCTTGCCGGAAGGCACACCGGAGACCCACTTGCGTGTGGGGAAGGCCCGGGGATATCCACGGAGTTATTCGACCGGGAGCTTGGCCCTTGCGAGGGATTCCTTGCGAGGGGCTCCAACGAGGACTAGGGGGAAGCTTGCGAGCTTCTCGATACCTCGGTAAAAATACCAGAGTTGTCGACGATGGGAGTTTGCATATCTCTACCTTACTCTTTAGCTTCCGCATTTACATTGCAATCTTGGTTTGTGCTTTACTTTCCCAGCTCAGTGAGGCTAGTTGATAGGTTTGGAACCTAGGTTGCATAACTCCTTTTTGCGGTAGAGATAGCAACACACTAGCAAATCCGTAGTTACACATTTAGATTACTTTCTTGCATAGGTTTTGACTAGGTAGAAAAAGAGGCCATAGTTTAGAGTTAGAGTTTTAAGTTGCCTAATTCACCCCCCCTCTTAGGCGTCACGGTCCCTTACAAGTGGTATCAAAGCTGGTTGGCTTAATTTGGACCTTTGGCTTCACCACCATAGAGCCGACGCTATTTAGAGTGGTTGGAATGGATACCTCTAGGCCTCCGCACTTTGATAGCACTAATTTTCCCTACTATAAAGCTAGAATGGCTTGTCACCTTGAGGCGGTAGATTTGGGTGTTTGGAGAGTCACTCATGATGGGATGAAACCCATTAAGAATCTCGATAAACCCACAAAGAGTGAAGAAAAATAAATTCATTTCAATGCTAGAGCTAAAAATTGCTTGTTTAAATCTTTTAGCATGGATGTGTTTAACCAAGTGTTCACTTTATATACGGCACATGAAATTTGGTTAAAACTCCAAGACCTCCATGACGGCGCAACTAATGTCCATGAGCAAAAACATTGTCTAGCTAAACAAAATTATGATTCCTTGAAAATGAATGATGATGAGCTTGTTCATGATATGTATTCTCGTTTGAATCTAATTATCAATGAGCTCCATTCAATAGGATTAATGAAGCTAGATGATGCAAACATCGTGAGGAAGATCATCTCCATGCTACCACAAAAGAAATATGCAAGCATCATCACCATCCTTCACAATATGGAAGACTTGATCACCATGACCCCAGCCATAGTCATTGGCAAGATAGTGGCATTTGAAATGTCATGGAAGATGGGTCAAGAAGAAGCCTCGTCATCAAGCAAAGGCAAAGCTCTCGCATGTAGTGAGAAAAAGAAGATGAAGGGCAAGCAAGTTGAGACAAGCTCAAGCTCAAGCTCCTCAAGTGAAGATGATGATGATGATGATGATGATGAATCAAGTGATGATGATCAATCTTCCTCCTCCACCTCCGACCTTGATGAAGAATCAATCAAACTTATCAACAAGATGGAGAAGATGATCGAAAGGCTCAATGTCAAGGGTGTACCCATCCAAATTCAAGATTTCATCTTCACCAATCAAAGAAATGAGCAAAGAAAGAAAGGATGCTATGGATACGGCGAGTTGGGGCACTTTGTGGAAGTTTGTCCAAACAAGCCCACACCCAAGACAAAGAAGAAGGCATGCAAGGACAAAGCCCTCACATCAATAAGGTCATGGGATGATTCTTCAAGTGAAGAAGAAGACCATCACAAGAGGTGAGGCCACAAGCACTCATCATCAAGCTCTTCTCGTGTGTGCCTTATGGCACAAGGTAACGAAAGCTCATCCTCTAGTGAGAGTGATAGTTAACAATTGATGACATGTATTAAGTGTTTGAGGGTAGCACAATTGGGCTGGCATCCTGAGGCATCGGATGATCTGGTGTAAAGGTTAGACCATCCGCTGGTTCAGGGGCTCAGTGAAAACAGGATGCTGGATTCTTCAGACGTTCTGCGACTAAGCATGGACTCTCTGGTACTAGGTTTGTGTCCTCAAGAATCCTCTCTGGGTTCAGCTATAATTCAATGGAATGTTTCATCAGGGTGACGCACCATCCATCAGGTTTGGTCTATAGGGTGCTGGCTTTGCTAAGTGTCACGGGGTCGAAACTGCGCCAAGCATGTTGTTCAAGTCAGTGTCAGAGTACGGGGTATCTGATGGCTCGAGTGGACTTAGGAACACAAGAATCACATAGAGAAGATGCAATGGTTTATCCTAGTTTGGGCCAATTCAGTCCCTACGTCCAGCAATTGATGATCCTTATACTCAAGAGCACCTAAAATCTAGGGGGTTACAACAGAGTATAAAGGAAGAAGATTTGGTAGGGGTTAGCTCAGTGCTAATCCTAAGGTTGCCTCACCACTCGTGGAGTCTCCCCCTCATTGGAGAGGAAGGATACGATGGGATGCAGTGGAGGAGGAGCTCCCAATGCCCCTCTCCGGGTTACCTTACTCTTGGTGCAGAGCGGAGGTAGATGAAACGGAATGGAGTGTCTGGTGATCGAATTGGAATCCTCTCCCCTCTAGGTACGACCTTATCCCTTATATAACAAGATAGGTTGGGTACAAGGCGGTTTGAGGGTTCTAGTCTATGGTCTATGTGCGCCGGAGTCTAGGAGGGGCTTGCAGCGGTGCATCGTGGACCGTCGAGGTGTCTTGGAGCCAAAGAAGCCTGGGCGTCGTTCGACTACCCAATTTTAACACTCTGTGTGTCAGACGGTGTCGACTTGGACTGTCCTCCCCTAGGTGAGACCTTTTGAAGTCTTCTTTGTGGCAAAGGAGGTTGGCTCCGGGGGCTAACGCACGGGCCCAAAAGCCCCCGAGCCCCTAGAGGCCACAGGAAGCTTTGTCTTCTTATGTCATGTCCCAGATGTGACCCTGTCGGAGGAGCAGTTGGTAGGGGCATGCCTAGGGAGCGATGCCAGGGAGCCCCCGGACATCGGTAGCATGGGGCTTGTCTTCTTGTGATTGGGCCTTGGCTGGCATCGTTAGCCAGGCAAGAGCCAAGGGCCAAGCCCAAAGGTGCCATAGATCAAGAGCCCAAGGCTTGGGGAAGCCCCTAAGCCCTAGGGGGAAGCTATGGTCGAGTCAGGATTGGTTGGGTCTCTTTGCTAGAGGGTGCATGCGAGCGTGCCTAATGGGCATAGCCCCCAAGCCCCCAGGCCTGAGGCTTAACATACATGTATATTAGGATCTTGTCAGGAGCCTCTGAGCCCTTCGTGCCCTCACATGGCGTGATGGTGATGAAGGGTTGAATTCGATCTTCTAGTGATTGAACCCTCCTTGGCGGGGATGGCTTCCCCTGGCAAGAGTGTTGTGCCCGGCTTGGGGCCTTCTTCTCCAGTGTGATGGATGGTGCTCCGCTGTTGAGGCTGAGTGAAGACGATGCTGGCCCCTTCGTGAGTCCATGTCGAATGGGTCTTTGACTTGAGCGAGAGCTTGGCGGACTCATATAGGAGTCACCAACTGTAGGCCTAGGGTCGCCCTCCTTTGTGATCAGAGCCTGCCGTGGGCTGGGTGATCAAGAGTGCTGGGCTCTGGCTCGGGGCCATCTGATCATTTGGAGCTCCACACCCTTTTGAGGGCTACAATAATAGGTCTTGATCCTCTCAAGCTGGCCTTCTAGGATAGACCCTCTGTAGCCATAGATTGGGGAAGCAGGAGCACACCAAGGCTCAAACGGAGGCCCTTGTTGGGCTCACTAAGCGGCTCCTGACCCAACTCTAGGAAGTTGGTTGGTTTTGGGGGGATGTGTCACTCGAGCGCTCATCGATCGGGAGGTCGGGCTGCCCTGTCTGGGGAGATGGCATAGCCCCCGAGGCCATTGTGGGGCCTCCTTGCCAATGAAGGGGGGTGCTTCTAGGCGTGTCCCATCCGCTGACACCTTGCACAAGCAGTTGATGGCGTCTAGGCCATCATGCTTGGTGGAGGAGTCATGACACACGCGCATGCCCCTATGCCATCCCATCTCGTCTGGGAGATGGTACGTTGGGGCCACGTGGAGCAGATCTGGTGGAGCAGGAGCCGCAGCACTTGGTGCACGTGGATCTGAGCTATCGATGATAGCCATTGGGCCCAGGGGGAGGCGGATCCCCCCAGGTCCTACGAGGAGGCATAAGCGGAGTGGGCGGTGTGCTCAGGCCAGCCCATGTCTACACCTACATGCTCGGGGTATAGAAAGGGTCGGATTGAGAAGAGAGTGGGCATACCTTTCTCTCCTGCTTCCTCATAGCTTCTCCATCTGAGCACCGCCGCACCTATTTGCGCCTCCCCCAAGGTCGAGCTTCAATGGCAGAGTGGGACACGTCGAAGGCTGAGGGTGAAATGTTGGAGGTGGCCCAAGCATGGCTGATTCTTCCCTCCTCCAGATGGGATCTGCCGAATCTAGAGGTGTCAGAGCCTGCACCTGGGGAATCACAAGGCGTCTCCTTCACCCCCTTCCACGTCACCGGGTTTGGGGTCCCCGCACATCCGTTCATGGGGAGGTTCCTTCACCACTTTAGGCTATGGCTTCATGACCTAACATCGCAAAGGGTGGCCCACCTTGCGGTGTTCATCACTCTCTATGAGTGCTACTTGGGCATCGAGCCCCACTTCGATTGTGGAGGCAGATCTTTTGCCTAAACCTGAACAAGGATGGCGACAGATCCATGCAACGGATCAGCACCGCTGCCATCCAGTTGCACAACAATCTAAAGTCATGGTACCTAGAGCTCTCCTTCCCTACCTCAGAGAAGGGGTGGCATCAAAAATGGTTCTACCTCTCTGACCCCTCTGGGTCCCTTCTAGCCTACTCCCCAGACCACCTAGGGCCAGCGATGCCTCCATCTTGGAAAAGCTTGCCGAAGGGGCCTGCCCTTGAGGTCACTAAGGGGCTGCTGGGCCGGATCACCGCCCTAAAGGATGCCAGGCTGACCGACAGGACGGTGCTTTGGGAGTTCCTATTCCACCGGATCCTCCCATTGATGGCAAGACCAACCCCAATGTGGGAGTACATTGGGGTAGGGGACCTGTCTGCGGTGGCGGAGGGCAATCTTTCGAGGGAGTCTATGGCTAGAGTGGCATGGATGGTGCTAGGATCTACATCGGGGGAGCTGACGGTTGGTGAAGGCCTGGCTCCCTTCTCGGTGTATGAGCCGAGACCCAATGACCTCCCATATTTAGGGGAGGTCTCCATTCCCCCAAGCCCTAGGGGGTAGGGAGCCAAGGCCCTTCCAGAGGTTCTTCTTCACCACTGAGAGGCATGTCCCTTACGCTGTCCTTGGGGGAGTCACCGGCCACCCGGTCCATCAGGAAGCGTCCTTGCTTGAGTTCCCCCAGGGCAGGGGCGCACTCACAAAAAAGGCACTCTGCTCTAAGGCTCTCTTCTAGCGGTAGGTGAGAGTCTTAGCCGGTCAGGCCGCCCCCACTTGGAGGTGGCTTATTCATTGCTTGATGATGTCGATGTTGACTTGCAAGGAGTCTTCCTTAGTGGGGGCTTCAGGCGGTGCGGTGACTCTAGGCGGCCGCTAGTGTTGAAGGTGCATCGCCACCCGCTGCTATCGCCTTGAGTGAATGGGGCGATGACTCCGGCCACCGCCATGGTAGGGCCGGTCCCTATGGCCTTAGTATGCCAAGCGGGATTTGATGCCATGGGGGGAGGCCCCTATTCAGGGAGCTTCCCCTCCGAAGCTGAGGTGGACCGGGAGGAGGCCAACGTCGTCGGCCTCCCCCCGCCCCCGATGCATGAGGAAGCTGGCTCTTCATCAACGGTTGTGTTGGCTCCTCTCGCATCGCTGGCCAGGGGCCCACATTCTATACGATGGCCCCGAGGCGGACACATGGCTGGAGTTGATCAAGCGGCATGGCGCCTTTGACGAGCTGGTCGCCTTCTTCTATGACTCCTTCGCGGTGATAGCAGGCCACGCGGGGGAGTTCTTCGACCTTTAGCAGGGGATGTACAACTCCTGTAGGGGTGAGTGTTAGTTGAATGAGCCACACGCCATGGCCGGCGTTGTGATCATGCCTGAGCTCTTTTGTTGTCGTTGTCGTAGGCACTGTTGGAGTACTCCTGGAGGAAGTTGGACCTTGTTCGAGAGTGGGAGAAGGTCACCCCGAAGGTGCTCCCTAGCCCTCCTAGAAGGGGTGGGGGGTCCTTGCCCATTTCGTTGCCCAACCCCTATCCTGCGCCTAGTGAGCGGGTGACGACGCTGATAGAGGCGCTCATCCGAGAGCGTGATAGCGTGCGCAGCATCATGGCACGGTTGGAGTCTGAGCTGGCAGCGGAGCGAGAGGCCAGGCGCACCATAGAGGTGAGGGCCGAGGCTTCCCGACAGAAGGCTACTGAGGTGGAGGAAATCAACCTGGCGGCTGGGGGTGCGGTCATGGAGCTGAGGGGCTCCCTAGGCCTCCTGGAGACCGCGAGGGATGCTGCCCATTTTGAGCTCCATGGTACCCAGCAGCTCATGGCAGATGTTTCCTTTCCTCTCCCTTCTTTCCCTCGCCTCCAGGGTGCGGTCTCTTGCTTCGAGCCACCATGAACCCGGTTCCTCTCCTTGCGTGGCGTAGGGTTGTGGGTAGAGCTAGCGGATGAGCGCAGCAAGGCCCTCTAGCTGGAGGAGGAGACAAAGAAGGCATGGGTGGAATGCGACCACCTATGGAAGGAACTATAGGTGGAGGTGAAGGTGTTAGTGGAGGGCTAGGCCACCTTGGCAGAACGTGGATGGGACCTGGTTGTGATGCGGGCGGAGCGGTAGAGGCTCGTCGCCAGCGCCAAGGAATCGAGTGTCGCTCTGCTCCTACCACCACCACTGAAAGGGGTACATGACCTTGTCGAGTGGGTGCGCTCTCTTACGGTGCATGTTTCATGAGTTGTTAGGGGCGCGGTCCGCCATTGAGCCAGCGCTGCCTTGACCTTGATGAAGCTTTGGCTCCCCGAGGTCGACTTGGGTCCCATGGCCTCGAGCGTCCCCAAGGAGACCTCAAACAAGCAGATGGAGGAGGCTGAGGACGTGGTAGCCCCCTGGTTGCTGTGGTAGCTGGCACCATCAATGATAGGTTGCTACTGACGGATGAGTATCCAGAGGAGGATGACGCGCCCGTCAACCCCCGGCATCTCCGTGACCTGCGTAAAAACTTGGTTGTAAAACTTGTTGTTGTAATCCCGGGGGTCTATTCCCCTTTGAACAATCATGACATTGAGGACGTGCCCACCCATCAAATCTTTGCGCTTTCGGTGCCGTTCATGCTCCATGCTCTGTTCGTCTCGGTGGGGAACGTCCTTAGCACCTGTTTTCCTTTCTGACCCTGATGGTCGTCAGCTATTAGCTCTGTTAGCCTAGGTCATGCCCATGAGGCAATAGGGCGTTAGCTTATCCAGTCTAGTGATCAGGGAAGGGAAGATAGGGCGGCTCTACCCCATGACTGCGAGATCGGGGCGAGGAGGTTTGTCGCCCGAAAGCGGGTCGACTCAAGTAGGGTGGGCGCGTCCCCAATCAATGATTTGGGAAGAAAAGAACACATAAAAAGGAGCTTAGCAGCTGGGGGGCTTAGCCATTCAGTGCGCCGATCCCTTCACCGGGCGAGCCCCTTAGTGTGTAGGGCTTCTACGTGGAGAGTGCCCCAGCCATGACAGAGATCTTGCTAGGGAAGCAGAGGCAGATGGAATGGAATAGAGTGTCTGGTGATCAAATCAGGTTCCTCCCCACTCTTGGTCTAACCTTATCCCTTATATAACATGACAGGTCGGGTACAAGACGGTTTGAGGGTTCTAGTCTATGGTCTACATGCGTTGGAGTCTAGGAAGGGCTTGCAGCAGTGTGTCATGAACCGTCGAGGTGTCTTGGAGCCCAAGAAGCCTGGGCACCGTCCAGCTGCTCTATTTTGACACTCTACGTGTTAGACGGTGTCGGCTTGGACCGGCCTCCCCCGGGTGAGACCTTCTATAGTCTTCTTGGTGGTGAAGGAGGTCAGTTTCGGGGGCTGACGCGCGGGACCAGAAGCCCCTGAGCCCCCAGAGGCTATGGAAAGCTTTGTCTTCTTGTGTCACGTCCTGGACGTGACCCTATCAGAGGAGCAGTTGGCAGGGGCACACCTAGGGAGCGACGCCAGGGAGACCCCGGGCATCGGTAGCCTGGGGCTTGGCTTTGTGTGACCGGGCCTTGGCTAGCATCATTAGCCAGGCAGGAGCCAAGGATGAACCCAGAGGTGCCATAGATCTAGAGCCCAAGGCTCGGTTGAAAGGTCGAGATGGCAGACTCGAGGGGGGTGAATAGTCCTTTCTAAATTTAATCACGTCGGATAACCGAAACAAATGCGGAATTAAAACAATCAGTCTAGTCAAGACTACACCCCTCTATCGAAGTTCACAAGAACCATATAATGATCCTAATTAGGCAACAAAGGTGCTGGGCTAGCTAGAGCTCACCTATCTAATTCTAGGAGTAAGGTCACACAAACCTATGCCACTAGTATTTTGCACACCGGGGAGCTCCTACACAATTCTAGTAAGCAAAAGCACAAAGTTCCTAAGCTCACTAGCAATGCTCAATAACAAGGCAACCAATGCCAAATTAGAGAGCACAAATACTTAGCTACATAAACTAAGCAATATGACTAACAAGGTTACACAAACCAAATTAGCCACGCAATGGAGCTACTTCTATGTTACACAAGCAAGAAGGTAACTAGTGAGCTACACAAGCTAAATAATTACAAGAGCAACTACACAAGCACAATGTATATGAAAGTAATTACAAGCTTGTGTAAGGGGATTGCAAACCAATGGGAAGAACAATGTTGATACGATGATTTTTCTCCCAAGGTTCACGTGCTTGCCAACACGCTACGTCCCCGTTGAGACAAGCTCCAAGGTTGCCGCCAGTCCTCTTGCTAGTGGTGACCCGCAAGTCACACTCTCCCACGTGGAGTGCTTACCATAAGCTCTAGCACTTGACCCAGCCAGACCACTCGTTGCCCTTCCCGTCTCGCTCTACTAGAGTTGCTCTTTGCGGCTCCCGCGGGGCGAGCACAATGCCCCTCACAAAGCTCTTCTCGAAGCACCGCACAAGCTTCTTGTGGGCTTCGACGGAGACCACCACCAAGCTGTCTAGGCGGTGGCAACCTCCAAGAGTAACAAGCACCACCGGCTTGCAACTCGATCACCTAGTGCCACTCGATGCAACCTCACAGTGCAATCGCACTAGAATCGCTCTCTCACAATCGGATGATCACTATCAAGCATATGTGAGATGGAGGGATCCTAAGCACTCTCAAGCATGGACACAAAGTCCCCCAAGGTGCTTTGCAGGTGCCATGGCCAAGACCACCTTCTATTTATAGCCTCCACGAAAATAGAGCTGTTGTACCCCTTCACTAGGCACTGCTCGGGGCGACCGGACGCACCGGTCAGATCGACTAGACACACCCAGTCCAGTGTCCGGTCAACGGATGCACGCCATGCGTCGCCTCCGTTCAACCTCAGTCACTTGATTTCAATGGTCGGCTGTTGTGCACCAACGGTCAAGTGATGACCAGACGTGGTACAGTGAGGATGATCGGACGCTGCTACGCCTGAGTCCAGTCATTTCCAGAGAGCTCCCCGAGCCTTTGTTTTGTGACCGGACGCGTCCGGTCACAGGTGATCAGACGCAGCCGAGCGTCAAGTCCTCGTTGCCTTAGCTACCTATGCTACGTCACCGTACATCACTTGTGACTGGACGCATGCCCTACGCGTCTAGTCACTTCTTCGCCCAGCGTCCGGTCAAAGACCGACGCCTACATGCTCTCTGCTGCCACTGACCGAATGCGCCGGTCCTGCCGAGGCCAGCATTCGGTCACTCACGGTGACACCTTCTCGCCTCTATTTCTTCACCGAGTTGATCCTCATCAACTCCAACTTCTCCTTTACAAATGTGCCAACACCACCAAGTGTACACCACCATGTGTATGTGTGTTAGCTTTTCACAAACATTTTCCAAAGGATTAGCCACTCAACTTGCCACGCCACTCGATCCTAGAGACGATGCAAAGTTAGATCACTCAAGTGGCACTAGATGACCGATATGTAGACAAGTTTGCCCCTCTTGATAGTACGGCCATCTATCCTAAACCTAGTCATCAACTTCTCTACACACCTATGACCGGTGAAATTAAATGTCCTAGGTTATACCTTTGCCTTGCGCATTCCATTCCATCTCCTCCAATGTCGATGCAACACATGCAACAACATGATCAATAATGATATGATCCACTTCATATCATCACATGATCATATTAGTTCATCGATCTTGACTTCACTTGCTTTTCACCGTTGCCTTCGTCCATCAGCGCCAAGTCTTGCTCAAGCTTCACCGCCACGTGGTCCATCGCTCCAAAGCCTCCAACTTGCCCTTCACGCTTGCAACCGGTCCATCAAGCCAAGACATATCTTGATCTTCTCCACCTTGATCACATGACTCAATGTCATGTCTCATGTGCAATGAGCTCCTTCATCATCACATGTGTGAGCTTTGCAACATCTCCGAGCCATTTCCACCTTCATGGCATATGTTGCTCACACACATGTACATGTGGACTAATCACCTGTGTATCTCACAAAAACACAATTAGTCCACCTATGGTTGTCACTCAATTACCAAAACCAAACAAGGACCTTTCAATCTCCCCCTTTTTGGTATTTGATGACAACTCTACAAAGATATGGAAATTAAGCTCTTTTGAATTCATGTTGCTTGCCCAAGCAATTTTACCATGTGTAAATGATTTTGGACAAGTACCACAAACCCTTATTGGTAGTATTAGCTCCCCCTACATATGTGCTAAAGTATTTGGTTTGAAGCTCGCACATATGCATAGATTGGAATTGTGGGAGAGTAATTACTACCAAATGATGCTAAGGTGTATAGAATAAACCATTAAAGTGTGATATCAATTGGAGTTGCACTTTTAACACCATCCTTAGCACCATGAGTAGCTAGACAACAAAAATACTAGAAACCCCGTGAGATCAACATTATAATCAAGTTTCTAGTACCACGTATAAAAATACAAGTCTAGCTACCATCCTGTGCATGCTAGTTATCAAATCAGCATTCAAGTTCTATAACTAGCATACACCACACAAGCATGCATATCAAATTTAAAAAAATTTATTCAATGCAAGCAAGCACATGACTATGCACATTTCAAATGCAACTAATTAAAGTTCATGAGCTTGCTCCCCCTACTTGTGTGCTTCTCTTGTCCAAGAATTTTGTTGATCCATCTCTTTTCTTCAATGTTGCTCCCTCTTTATCCATGTCCATGTCCAACCTCTACTTCTTTTCTTCAATGTCTCCCAAAGCTTTCATATCTTTGTACAATCTCTCCCCCTTTGTCATCAATTTCCATAAAAGGTGTGCTTCTCATTGATGCAAAGGTTTGCATTTGGGGTAGATGGTTGAGACTTGAATCTTTCATTTTTGATGGGCATCACTTAATTATTGGAATGACACCACTTGTATAGCTTCTTGAGATACTACACATAGGATCTTTGACCTTG